CCTTTTGAAGAAATCTGTAAAAGAGCATTGACATCAGTGTTATTTTCCTGTCATATATATATATATATATATATATATATATATATATATATATATATATATATATATGACAATAAAATAATAATATTTTATATCAAATATCAATTTATACTTTGGAAGGAGTCGTTGTATTCTGCCTGCATACCGACAGTACAGTATTACACAAAAAAAAAAAAAAAAAAAAAAAAAAACTTTGCCCAATATCCAGCCATGAGAGTAAGAGCTCCCACATAGCAAAATTCCAATTCCGATCCTGGTACAGTTCTTACTTATATACAGTTGCGTTCAGAAAGAATGTGACAATACCAAAAATAACACTTTTTAACAAAGCAACTGGTTACTTTTTATAACGCCGCCCCTCTTTTATGAATCGTGTTATTTGAACACAATTCATGTTTGCTCATTGCGTTATCAACACACAATAGTATGGTGTTTCATTGCAGCATGGGGTGTTATCCCCTGTCTAAGCAGACTGAGGCAACAGAGGTGTCAGCCCTAATACCCTTATCGCTATTAGCTAGATAGTTACTTTTGGTAACAAAAGGTAACAGACAGATAACAATCTGGAGCGTTCTTTGGGAGTTTACTGTACATTTGATAATTTTACAACACATAAGAAAATGTCTTTATACAATACCAGTGTGACAGGACGGGTAGTCGGCTAGGGACAGATATAACTCTGCCCCCCCGCCCCCCCCCCATTACTTTTTATGAGTGACATTAGCCCCAATTGCTAACCCCATACCTTTAAATATAAAAGGAATAAAGTGCTGATCGACCTCCAATGATAGTTTTCTTTTCTCACGTGATGTGTTCACCGTTTGAATACAACGTCACCTGAATAACTCCCAAATGGCCTTCCTCATAAGACACGTCATCATTGACCCGTTAAACGACAAGAGATACATTAATTATTTTACCACCATTGGTAATGAGATAAAGAAATTGTGTATTTCATATTTTACCATCACTGAGGGGGATTTACATTAAGATGATGGGAAGGACTTTTACCACAATCAGCGAGCTATTGTTGATGTTTATTTTCCGCTGAAAACAAATGATGGCAAATGATAATGCCACAGAAGGAAAGATTTTGAATGAGACAAAGTAGTTTCCAATATTGAAACCTTTCTATCAAAGAAACACATCGTCTGTATCAGACTGTGGCTAAAATGCAACGTTAAACCAACACTGCGGCTGCTGCGCATGCTGGGTCCTCATTTAACGGACGGCATGGATACCAAACACCTTGTCGCCATCCATGCAATTCTCTTCCTTCTTTTCTTGCGTTTTTCCTACCTGCAACTACATCAACCGATTTGTTAGACGGTCCGCAATACAGCACATGTTTTCTCTCTTCTGGGGAGTTTCTGCGATTCCATTCTACGAATAAGTACGCCAGTCGGATACCTGTAAGCGTTTTGCCGGTGCCTGTATACGATAATTGGCATTGGTAAGTGAGGGAAATTTAAAATTAAAGGGGTAATAACTATTCGTTTCGGCCTAAAAAATGAATTTTCCTGGATTAAACAACAATTTTCCCATACTTACCAATGGCTAATGAATCCATTTTTACATTCAAAGTTAGTCTCTGTTTTTTTTTTCTAAAAAGTTAGTTTTTTCGTTAAAATCTCTTAAGAGATTTTAACAGAGTATAGCTCTCAATGGAGGTCACGTGGTCTTAAGACAAGCTCAGATATCAGAATAATAGCTATAACTACCTTTTTTTTTTTTGGTAAAACAGAATATATTATATTTCTTTGAGTTATTCACAATGTTTTTATTGTGAAATATAGATCTCATACGAAGAGTTATTATCCCTTTAATTTAAGCAGACATTGCCTGACATATTTTAAAACTAAAACAAACAGATTGATCAGAGAAGACCAAGTGTTGGTAGGAAAGTATACCCTGCATTTCAATGAAATGCCTTAACATACTATGCCCTACTTTTTGCTTCTTTTAAATACACACTTTGACTGTTAGTTGATCAATCGACCAAAAAGATACAGGTAAAAAAATGAAAAAAGAGAGATACATGTAGATACATTAAAAACATTTAACTCTATTTTACCAAAGTTAAAACTTATCCAAAGCTTGACTTTTAATGTAGGACTGCAGATTGGTGATTTTATCTTAAATAAAAAAGTCTTCGATTTTTCATTCCTACTGCAGTCATTTAATGTATCTTCAAAACAACTAATTATGTTTACAAAATTATTCAAGTCAACCGTGTGACGTAACATTGGGATTTTTTGGGCAAAACATTATTTTCGGCTTCCTGATTTCCTGAGGCACCTGGACAGCGATAAATATACTTTTAAACGCTTGAACAAAGTACAAAGAAGGGGTTGGGGAAAGGGGGTTCTTTAGAGACTTGCTGTTGATTTTGTACATAAAACGTTATTTTAGCCCCCATGTGAGTACAGTCCCACCTTAAATCATTTATAACTCTATTAAAATTTCTTACAGTACAAAAACCTATAACAAAATATATTACAATTTGAATCAGAGAAAGTTGGACAAAAGATCGTGTTTATATACCTGGTGGTCCTTGAATCAGTGAGAATGGTTTCATTATGGCAGATATCACCGCCTCCCTTTGTTTCTCGTTGGCTCTGTGGAGATAATTCTCCAAGTAACGCCCTTTGGAATATTTAGTTCTTCTGTCAAGAAGATCTTCGGGTTTCACGCGAGATGATTCTCTTCCTTTTTTCATTTCTCTCTCTATCCTCTTTTTTGGGTCTTCATCGTGGAGGTAGAAAAATGCCTCTACATCTTTAAAGTCTGTGAAAAAATAATATACAGCAATGTAAGTATCGCATTTCAGCCAAACACCTGCGTTAACAATTTAACGCTAAAAATACACATAAATCGCCAGCGTTAAAAATCAACAAAAGCACCCACTTCTCAACGTCTGACAACAATTCTAACCGTACTGAACATCTTTCGTTTTATTTATATATCACTTATTGATATTAATGTACTTCTTTGGAATTCCCCCAGATTTGAAAAACTTTGTCCTATATTTCAGTTTTGAAAGTTTGAGTTCTATCTAGACAGAGTGATGACGGCAGCTGACAACAATACTGTAATGACTCGATCTTTTCAGTGGGTACAATTTACCTTTTTTCAGAAACATGTTTTTAGAATCATTACAGCGTAAATTTAAATGTAGCATCTGTGGCGCTTTTTCTTTGCAGAAAATAGTTTGAATAACTCCTTTTTTTGTTTTATTGCACCCAAATAATAAGGACGTTCGAATTTTAAGTATAAATGAGTAAAGCAAATGTAAATTTTACATTTTCCCCATTGTAAAGATAAAGAGATTACAATTTGGGCATATAAAGGCACTGGTATAATAAGGCGGTAAACTTTTGCTTACCTCTATCGTTCATCACATCTCTGAGATTGGCTTTACCCAAAGCTATATTTCTAGCCAAAATGGTTGCTTCACCAAGACTTCGCACTGCATTTTCCATTCGTCTTAAAAACACAGACACAATGGTCAAGGTCAATTTCACAATGAAAATGTAAGTTTGTATGTATGTATGTATGTATGTGTGTATGTAGGCCTATGTATGCATGTACTCTTATGTGTGTATGTGTGTGTGCGTGCGTGTATACGTGGGTGTGTATGTGTGTGTGAGTTTTTGTTGCAAAAACTCAACAAGAATGTTCGGATTTTAGAAATTAATGATTTTAAATTTACTATATCTATAAATTGTGTGTGTGTGCAGAGAAGCTTTTCACCATCTGCTTTTTTACAGATCAAATGTTAATCCTTTACATACGGCAGACAATACAAAGAATAAACTAATTGTTAGTTCAACTGAGGGTTCAAAAGGAATGTTCAGTTCCTTTCCCAACTACAGAGTCATTTCGCAAATAATGTTTAGCCACGCGGTTAAACACCAGGCACTGATGAAGTGCCACTATATGTAACACTGCACACAATTCATTTGGGAACATCGAAAAAACAGCTTCTACGAAAAAAAAAATATAAAATTCTTTAGTGATTGCAATACGTACACGGACGGCATAATTCTGTCCAGAAATTCCACTGTGGCCAAGTTCAGAGTGGTTTTGGACTCGATCGTCTTCGGAACAATCCCATCATGGAGTTTAAAAACCACCCTCTTGTCCCTGCGTCTAACATGCATGATTAGACCATGTCCTAACCACATGGACTCTGCGTCTGAGTTGTACTGCGGCAAACAGATGCTTCTAGATGATGGCTCGCTACGGGTCGACTGAAGGTCAATTGGGCAACCGCCAGTAGCACCACTGTCAGTGACGCATTGGGAGTCAGGCTGAATGTTGCGGTATACAATGCACACATACCCTCTGTACTCGCCGGTGTCTACGATTTTATCAGGGTTAACGGTCGGATCATTGTCATCATCCTGGCTGGAGGACAGCCTGATACCCCGGTCTTCGCAGAAGGTGTCTCCTAGCACTACGCTCCCATACCAGTTCCTATGTTTCTTCATCCAAGATACTCTCACGTTCCGGACGGTCAAAGAAACTTCGTCTATGACAGCCGCTTGCGCGCCCTCTATCTGCAGTAGAGGGATCAGAGTTGACTGATAGGTCTTCTCGTCTGTATATTTCATTTGTAGAGGTTTTACTGGGGAAATGTCACAAAAACAGGCCACAGGGTCGTCGTGGTGTTTTAAGCATATGTGCACATTGGGCGACAGGCTCATCATAGACAGCCTGGGACATAGAGAACCTCTATGGAACTTGACCTGAGCTAGAACTCGGACAACTGTCCCAATGCTCATTTTTAGCTGGAACTTAGATTCCTTATTTGCGATAGTCCCGTCTCTGTTGCGATAGGCATCAGTGTTTATGTTGACACTGGATTTTGCTTTTTCACCTTGAGCTAAGCTAGCTACATTTTCGTGTTCTGTTTGGATCAATGTCGAAAGAGCCTGGGAATTTTGTTGGCTAACAGCCTAAATGATGTCGTCCCACACACGTATAGGCAACGGAGTCAGGAACTGATTTGGGTTAACATCATGCCAATCCTGGGCGCTTTGTTGTCTTTCCCCGTCCGGGGGTTTTGGAACTGCCACCCTGTCATATAATTTCTTCTTCCATTCTAGAGGACAAAACTTGACATGCGCACCTGTGCCTTGCTCTAAACTGGGTCTCTGGTTCAGGCCCATAGAGCCAAAGCGCAGTCTCAGATGCCTCGAGGGGATGTCTTTACAACACGGTAAGCGTAGCTGGATAAAGGAATCGTCCAATGCAGTTACTATTGGAAGTATGGTGCTCGTCGTGTTCTCTTTCAACTGGAGGCAGAATTGCATGAGTTCACATGCACCATGGAACTTCTTGGCTTTCCTGTGGAGCGCATTCATCTCCTTGCAAATTTCTTCCAATTCTTCTTGGGAATAAGGCGGAGTGTCATCTGCCTTGTCAAGCATGGCGTGTACAAACCGGTGGACTACGATGTCCACGTATCTTCGTATCGGAGACGTAAACCAAGTGTAGTCCGTCAAGTTCAGTCCGTGGTGCTCTTTATACTGGGACGGGTTGGCAGCGGAACTGCAAGCCGGTCGGGTCGGTCGTTGGAGTTCGATAAGGTTCCAGTGTGCACTGTATATTAAAGGAGCATGCTGTTCTCTGGAAAATATCTCCAAAAGTTCCTGCCCACCCCCATTCCTGGAAAGCTCAAGTGCTTTCTTCCACAGCGCTTCCCTCAAATGCAGCGTAGCCAGCTGCCTCTGCTTTGATCCAGGTGGTGCGTTTGTGTCATATTTTCGTCGGTAATTTTTCAATGTGGTGGAGTGCTTGGCTACTTGGTTGAACTCTTTTTGCCACATTTGCAAAGCTGAATCCACAGGAGGGTCTTGCACAAGTAGAAGAACATGCTGAAATGATTCGCCAAGGGATCGCCCTATGGTCACGTTAGCCAAGATCATGAATTCTTCCACAGTCACGTGAGCCATAGGGGCACCGTTGTCCTGAAACTGGTTAAAAGCAGACCCCTCTTTCAATCGCTGGGCCTGAATTTTACTTGCAATGTGATGTAATTTTTTCAAAGTGTTGCTTATTTCATTTGGAAGTCCTGTCCCGCACAGTATGTCCTCTGCTTCTTCATAGGATAATTTCTGTTTCGATTTCACCACCGTTCTCTTAATGGTATGTTTGGAAACCTTGTTTAATTTTTTATCAAAATCAAAGAATACTGAAAGTGCCAGCCTATCTTCTCCCTCGACGAGACTACACATGGATGTTGTGAGTTCATCCGGTAGCATGAATATGCGTGGTTGATCATGGGGAGGATAAAAGCTGACACCTCGTGCTCGAGCCTCTTTGTCGATCAGGTCATCCTTCTTAACAAAATACGTGACGTCAGCGATGTGAACCCCGATGCGGGTGATGTCGTCTCCTATTTCTTCAACACTCAATGCGTCGTCGATATCTCGTGTATCGGCGGAGTCAATTGTCAGGGTCACTACGCCCCTGTAGTCCAATCGTTTTTTAATCTCACGCGCGGGGATTTTTTTGTGTTTTTTGGACAAAGCCTTTACTCGATCAGCAACATGTGTTGGGAACGTTTTAACAAGGTCGTGTTGAATCATGAGTAGCCTCATTTCTCTCTCTAGTGATGCGCTACCCTTCAAGACACCAACAGCAACCCCAAGAGGAAAAACATGGAAGGGCTTCCATTTCAGGTATCTTACCAAGAGTATGATGTCATCTTTGTATTTGGCCTCTATCTTCATCTTCTTTTTGTATTTCAATTGGCCGTTATATTCTACAGAGTATATAGGGACATATGATTCATCTTTCTCCTGGACGTNGGCAGAATTGCATGAGTTCACATGCACCATGGAACTTCTTGGCTTTCCTGTGGAGCGCATTCATCTCCTTGCAAATTTCTTCCAATTCTTCTTGGGAATAAGGCGGAGTGTCATCTGCCTTGTCAAGCATGGCGTGTACAAACCGGTGGACTACGATGTCCACGTATCTTCGTATCGGAGACGTAAACCAAGTGTAGTCCGTCAAGTTCAGTCCGTGGTGCTCTTTATACTGGGACGGGTTGGCAGCGGAACTGCAAGCCGGTCGGGTCGGTCGTTGGAGTTCGATAAGGTTCCAGTGTGCACTGTATATTAAAGGAGCATGCTGTTCTCTGGAAAATATCTCCAAAAGTTCCTGCCCACCCCCATTCCTGGAAAGCTCAAGTGCTTTCTTCCACAGCGCTTCCCTCAAATGCAGCGTAGCCAACTGCCTCTGCTTTGATCCAGGTGGCGCGTTTGTGTCATATTTTCGTCGGTAATTTTTCAATGTGGTGGAGTGCTTGGCTACTTGGTTGAACTCTTTTTGCCACATTTGCAAAGCTGAATCCACAGGAGGGTCTTGCACAAGTAGAAGAACATGCTGAAATGATTCGCCAAGGGATCGCCCTATGGTCACGTTAGCCAAGATCATGAATTCTTCCACAGTCACGTGAGCCATAGGGGCACCGTTGTCCTGAAACTGGTTAAAAGCAGACCCCTCTTTCAATCGCTGGGCCTGAATTTTACTTGCAATGTGATGTAATTTTTTCAAAGTGTTGCTTATTTCATTTGGAAGTCCTGTCCCGCACAGTATGTCCTCTGCTTCTTCATAGGATAATTTCTGTTTCGATTTCACCACCGTTCTCTTAATGGTATGTTTGGAAACCTTGTTTAATTTTTTATCAAAATCAAAGAATACTGAAAGTGCCAGCCTATCTTCTCCCTCGACGAGACTACACATGGATGTTGTGAGTTCATCCGGTAGCATGAATATGCGTGGTTGATCATGGGGAGGATAAAAGCTGACACCTCGTGCTCGAGCCTCTTTGTCGATCAGGTCATCCTTCTTAACAAAATACGTGACGTCAGCGATGTGAACCCCGATGCGGGTGATGTCGTCTCCTATTTCTTCAACACTCAATGCGTCGTCGATATCTCGTGTATCGGCGGAGTCAATTGTCAGGGTCACTACGCCCCTGTAGTCCAATCGTTTTTTAATCTCACGCGCGGGGATTTTTTTGTGTTTTTTGGACAAAGCCTTTACTCGATCAGCAACATGTGTTGGGAACGTTTTAACAAGGTCGTGTTGAATCATGAGTAGCCTCATTTCTCTCTCTAGTGATGCGCTACCCTTCAAGACACCAACAGCAACCCCAAGAGGAAAAACATGGAAGGGCTTCCATTTCAGGTATCTTACCAAGAGTATGATGTCATCTTTGTATTTGGCCTCTATCTTCATCTTCTTTTTGTATTTCAATTGGCCGTTATATTCTACAGAGTATATAGGGACATATGATTCATCTTTCTCCTGGACGTTGTCAGGAAATCCAAGGAGCTTAATCTTAGGAACTGTCTGGCATATTGGCTTTGCAAGGTTACTGCTGTAGTCGTCAATGGTACATGCAAATCGAGAGAACTTCTTGACACGGGGTTCGAACCATACACCAATAACTTTTCCTCTGTATGTATGGCTTGGTATTGGATCTTTTTTAGGTGGGTTAAACACTTCAACGACAACATCCGATTCATTAAAAGCAAGCCCAGAACGTGTTCTGCCGTATAGTTCAATACGCGGTATTTGTTCATTTGTGCCTATCGGAATTGCATGAGCCTTCTGGTTGGTTTCTATGTAAAGGGTGCAGAGTTTATATTTTGAAGGATTCTCCCGTAATATTTTTTCCAGCATGAACTTTGAGTGAAAATCATACAAATTGTCGCCAAAATAATCATCTTCAAAAGATTCTAAAAATGGGTCTGCGTATAGAGCATCGTTGAAGTCCTTCTCCATGAATTCTTCATCTAGCATGTTTACTTCCTCTTCTTCATCTGGTGGGGCAACATGAATCATCGATTCTTCCAAAGGCTCGTCCTCAACCGCCGCAGTGGATGGCGTACAAACACCCTCTTCATCTTGGGTTGCTCCAGATGATTGGACATCTGCAAAGTCGGGAACTTTTGATGGAAGCCATCTGCCTGGAAAATAATTAAATGTATTTTTCAATTAGGTTTAAATGTCAACTCTGGTTGCTATATACTGAACAAGAAAAGGGTAATATCGTGTCTAATGAACCTGCAAAATATTTGTTGACAATAGCCTATCTGTTGATGTTATACCAATTATGAATTAAATATCTTCATTGTCATGTTAGTTAGTTACAATTGAAAACAAAAAAAAAAAAAACAAACTAAAAAAAAAAAAAAAAAAACGCCCAGCGCAGAATAGTTAACTTAGCAACCAACTTTATATATCATATTTAACAGTATAATATTACACACATTAATAGTTCCCCCGCCAAAAAAAAAAAAAAAAAAAAAAAAAGGACCGATGACTAAATTGTTAATCAGATAAGTGTCAACCCATATTTGCAAAATTCATTCCTGTAATGACAGCCTAATATCCGATTCAATGTGGGATTTTTCTTTCAAACGTCCATGTTTGGGCCATAGGGAAGAACGTTAACGCACGTGTTTTTTCATTAAAAAGTCGCTCTAAATCCGCCTGATCCTCCTGATCCTCTTCTGTTATTGGCTGACCAAGATCCGTTTCTGTTGATGCTATAGTTTCTGGGGGTCTTCGACCAGTTTTAATGGCATCCTGGAAAGAATCCCTTACTCTTTAATCATGTTACAGTAAACCGTATTAGTAAGAGTGGGAATTTTCTGCATAGCTGAAGTGTTGCGTAATGGGCACTCGGAACTCCATAACTCTTACTCAGTTTAATTAACATCAGATTTAAAGTGCGCACAGACGTGTATACACTGTAACAAACTGTAATGTGTAATTGTGTTTTGTTTACATGTGCACATTTCTTTAAATACAGTAATGATGTGGGTTGAAGTTATTTTGGTACCCTCTGAATACCTCTTCATGAAAATAATGTAAAAGTATCCCGGTTTTGCAGCTTCACAACTAACGAACAAAGTCGAGATCACATCGGGAATGCGTCGCACGTGCGTCACCCCCACGCCTGGTGTATAAAAGGCGTGCTCACGACGCAAGCTCGTGTCTTTAGCCTAGGTCCCAACCGAACGTACGGGTTGCTACGGGTTGCTACGTGTGGTCTCCTAAAAATGGGGAAAACGTGGGAATTCGCGCGTGAGGAGCACGTCCATCGCGCGACTTTTGGAGGACGCAAACAGCTTTTCACAAATTACTTGATTTTTTCCCTGCGATCTAACTACGTCTTAGCCGGACGCAAGGAACCTAAAAACCGTGCGTCCAAAACGTAGTTGGGACCTAGGCTTTTACAATGAACGTAGACTGTGTAACGTGTGCAACAATTTTCAAAATTTTCAATTTTTTGCTCAATTTAGTTTCTAATATTCCTCCAAAAAGGCAAGAGAAAGAAGCTTAGATATTAGAAAAAAGGGAGGAGGAAGAAGAAAGAAGGGGAGAACAGGAAGCAATACTGACGTACGCCTTGAGTACGTCATCACAAATGTGTGTGGCAAGTGTGAAGCAAAACTGACGTAAAAGGACACCACTTTCGCCGTGCGTTGCATTCCCTTCGTAAGTGGTGAGTGTGTCACTTACGTAGGAAGGAAGACAAACTCAAGAAATGATTGCAATTTCCACGGCCATCGCTCCTTGCAATTAGCGTCACTACTTGAAAGGACAACACATGTGGCCCTTGCGACTCCCAAGGCAGACTTTCCTCTACCTCTACGAGCCCCACGACCTCCACTACACCCAAAATTCGTAGGAGATGTACAGGGTACGGTCCTAAAATCCGTACGTCCGGTTGTGACCGAGGCTAAAGTAATCCAACTTTCCACATGAACCATGGGAGGTTTCTAGGTCGGCAATATATGGTCTCTACGAGATTAAACATGAGCATTTGAAAAAAAAGAATAAGTTTTTACTGGGCGTGCATTCGGAAGTGAAACACTCCATGTTAAATGTCGAGTCTGTAAATCGATATATGGGTCTTACCCTGCTGTCACTTGTAGTGGTCACCTGCCTATTTCTTCTATAATGCCTCGTCATTGTCTTAACTGATTTCGTCGGTTTTTCTGAAACAGTAGCAGAACCAAATATCTTCAGTCAATAGTGCGGGTGACGGTAAATATCATATTTAGCAAATGTTTTCTATTGGAAAGGGAAACTATTTAAAACGCATATACGTTATGTACGTTAAACAGCATACTAAAATGTAAAATATCCATCTGCTTGTTATTTATGTAACTTAAAGTCATTTCAGCACATATTCGACATGTTCACGGTGTTTGAATACATAGCTGCATGCGTTTATTTAACTGTTCGGTTATTGTGAATCATATCCCAACATCCACCACTTACTTGTTTTGGCCACTCTCCCGCTTGAAGCCTGTAAAGCAGGATAATTATTTGAAAAAATAAGCACTGCTAGGCACTATGTGTCGTTTTACAACATGTGGAAAAACGTATGGTCTATCGTTTAATGTAAAATCACGCATGGCTGTAAAGATAAAATCGAAGTCAATTGTTTACAGTGAAATATTTTGCTACGAACCGTCACAAGTCCCGCTATCCAATCCGGATCGTACTTAAGTGACTCCCTTGTCTCTACGGCCTCGATTTCATCCTGCGTTCTTTTCAATCTTCGAATCTCGCTTTCTCTAGCTTCCTGCAAAATTACGTAAAACATGCACACGCCACCATCAATATTTAAGTAATTACATGTATATATCAAAAGTAGATATTAACGGTACTGTCATCTTGTTTGATTGAACAAAAAAAAAAAAAAATAATAATAAAATAAATAAATAAATAATAAAAATAAAAATAAAAATAAAAAAAAAATCATTGATGGTGATTAATCAGAAAGTATATTTTGGACACAGTGCAAAAATAAAACTAAGTTGGGTTCCACTCCAAATATTGTTTTTTATCTATCCTGAATAAATCCATTAAACAAACATATTATCAAATAAAATCAAGGTGATCAGATTGTTTGATAACATTGATCAGGTGTTGCGCATGCGCGGAGGAAACAATTTGACTTTTTGGTGCTCTGATACTTTTGGAGTTCTATGAGCGATAAAGTGCAGCAATTTACATTGTGGAAGTGCAAGAGTTTCGGGGAGCGTGTAGATACACTAGGAAGAACGTGAGTTGAACAGAAATGAGAGGAAAGAAAGGAAAAAGGAAGAACAAAAGTCCTAATCTGAGTGGCGAAAAGGAAAACAAAGTGAATAAAGTGAGTAGTTCTCAAACTGAACAGAAATCACCGACTGAATTACGCTTAGGTGCTACCAGTTCTGTAAGTGACGTAACGTATCTTCAGTCAACTCCACTAATGACTGATCAACCACGAATATACCCACAGGGCCAGATGACGGGTTTTTTTCCACCAAGCCCAATAGGCCTACCTATGCGATCACTGCCTCTTACTAGTAGCAGTAACCCGCAAGGCGATCTGTTTTCCTTAATATCATCGCTGTCTTTGAAAATGGATGCAATGAATACAAAGCTAAATAAACTGGATTCCATAGACCAACGGTTAACCAAACTGGAGCTAACAATGAGCAATGGCACTAGTGATCTGAAGGGGGCAAATACAAAAATCGGCGAGATGGAGGATGGCCTTATACTCATCAATACAACATGTGAGGACAATAAGACAAATGTAAAGGAAAAAGAGGGCGCTGTAAAGAAGCTAGATGACAAATTCAGGAATTTGAAAAAAGAAAATGAAATCTCAAAAACGGAGATAGCTGGATTGAGAGAGGACCTAAGTGAACTGAAACAGAAACATCTTGAGTTACAGACCCGCTCCATGAGGGAGAACTTAATCTTTGACGGCATACCGGAAAATCGAGAGGAGAGCGCCGAGGAAGTAATTAAGCAATTCCTATCGGAGGAAATGGGAATTACTGATGAAATAAAATTTGAAAATGTTCACCGTATGGGAAAGCACATACCAGGGAAACACAGACCGATCATCGCCAGGTTTGGGTCATTTAAGGACAAGGAGATGGTCAGGAAAACCGCCCCACGTGCGTTGAAAGGAAAACGATAGAGAGTCAATGAACAATTTCCCAGGGAAGTCAACGAACAGAGAAAGATGCTGATATGCAATAGTTGGCTTTAACTTGAAACATGGGCCGCTAGTGATAATCAATATGATCACTTCATGCCTAATTATAAGCATTTTGGAAAACATACGCCTCGCGTGAAGCGAAAAGGAAGACATTCAGGAGGGATATCAGTCTTCGTCAAAGAAAATCTGGTAAATGGTGTAACAAGAGTGTATGACGACTGTAGTGTCGCAGTATTTCTTAAATGTAATAAAGTGTTCTTTGGATGGGAAAAAGATCTGATTATTTGCTTCACCTATATCCCTCCTGAAGGGTTCAGTTTTTACGATGGACGAAAAGAACAAAATGGCATTATACTTTTAAATGAATTTATAACAAAGGCGACGAGTTTAAACACATGTTGTAATTTTTGTATTGCTGGTGACTTGAATGCGAGAACGAGTAATATAGATGATTATATTCTTGATGATAATTTAGATTACATATCAAATGATGTCGGTGACTGCTATGCTGTGGATACTTTTGATTTGGAGAGGAAAAGTAAAGATAAAATCTGTGTATGCTTGATATTCGCATGTTAAACGGGAGGTGTTTGTGTGATATTGATGGCAATTTCACATGCATAATCCATAGTGGTAGTAGTTTGGTAGACTACATTTTGGTTTCTAGCGACATGTTTGCAAATATAGTTGAGTACNCGCCTTGGATCAGAAATATTTAAGCAAGGGCAGGGGGCGGTTTTACTCCATATTCGTAGACTTTTCCAAAGCCTTCGACAGTGTGGACCACAGACTGCTATGGTTTAGACTACAAAAAATTGGTATTCATGGGAGAGTTTTACGGGTTTTAAAATCAATGTATTCAAAATTGAGGTCGTGTGTTTTAATCTCCCCGGGACTTACATAATATTTTGAATGTACTGTTGGAACCAGGCAGGGCTGTATGATAAGTCCATTTTTATTTAATATGTTTCTAAATGAGTTTGTAGAGAGGGTAAATGAGAGTGATGTACAATCTATTTTTATTGATGAAATTGTCAGCATTTCGCTTTTATTGTATGCTGATGACATGGTTATTTGTGATGACACTGCATTTGGCTTACAAAAGAAGATAAATATTTTACAGAATTTCTGTGAAAATTTCGGACTGAATATAAATTTGAAAAAAACAAAAATCATGATGTTTAGACACTCTGGACCATTACGAAAATATGAAAAATGGTACTTTGGTGGACAACCGGTTGAAGTTGTAACCCACTACAAATATCTGGGTCTAACTATAACGCCAAGGCTTTGTTGGGACAAAAGCCACCACTAGTTTAAGTCTGAAAGCAAGAAAGGCAATGATTATGATTGATAAACTTGAATATAACACTGGGTGGGTTAGGTCTGATATTGCATTTATGATATTTGATAAAATGATCGCGCCAATTTTATTTTACGGTGCAGAAGTTTGGGGATACCAAGTGTATGACAATATAGAAAAGGTACAACTTGCTTTCTGTAAAAGGATTCTTGGCGTGGGATCAACAACTTCAACAACAGCGGTCTTGGGAGACTGTGGTAGGTTCCCATTGTTTATAACTTACATCAGTCGGTGTGTCAAATTCTGGCTTAAATTACTGTGAATGGAAGAAAGCAGATATCCAAAAGCGTGCTACAAGATTATGTTGGTATTAGATCAGGCTGGTCGCATTACATGGGCGACAAAAATTAAAGAAATACTTTTTAGATATGGTTTTGGGTTTGTATGGTACAATCAGGGTGTTGAGAATGAGATATATATTTTTAGAATTTTTTAAGACAAGAATGAAAGATTGCTACATTCAAGAATGGAACGGCCAGTTACAGAACTCGTCTAAATTAAATATGTATTGTTCATTTAAATCTGTATTTCAAAAAGAAAATTATTTATTGTTGAATCTCCTGAAAGCGCACTTAGCTGCTTTCGCCAGGCTCAGGTGTGGAAACCATAATCTTATGATTGAAAAAGGTAGACATGACAACATACCCTCGAACGACAGGGTATGCACACTATGTAAGGATGAAATAGAAAACGAATATCACTTTTTGTTAACATGTGAGATGTACAGGGACTTAAGAACAAAATATATACCAAACAGGTACACCTGTCAACCAAATATCCAAAGGTTTAGACAGCTTATGTCTTCCAATGACAGAGATTTGATGATTAACCTGATTAATTATGTTAATTATGCCTTTAGAAAAAGATAATTTTTTTTTTGCAACGGAAAGTGCACGTACATGAGCTCTCCGCATGCGCAATAGTTACGTTATATGAACCATTTACATTTGTAATCTGGGCAAATGCCTTTATACGAAAATAAATTAAATTATTTGACATTGTTTTCAATCAACAAAGATTCATCAGATGTGGACTTACACTGGGCAAAATGCTATGTGCCTCCTCTGCCATTTCGATGGCTTTTTTAATATCCCCCTGGTTATGGAACGCCCTCGACTTTAAATCGTACGCCTTTGCACATAGTGCGCGACATTCGTCTTCTTCCTGTTCACTTTCTATCAGATCAAGAGCTGAAAACGGAGCTCATTACTGAATGTTAAACTCCAAATAAACGCAAAAATAAATTATCACGGTTTCAATGGTACTTTTCGTTTAGAAATATTAATCAGTTTGCAGAAGCAAGAAACGGGAATCAAATATACCACCCATTTAGATGAAGAACCCGTGGTCCCTTAATTCAATAAAGGTAATTACTTACCTTTTATGCAATGGTCTCCACATAGTTTTGTAAATGTCTGCATCAAAGAAAAATATGCAAGGATTTAATCTCGTTATTTAACATTTCCGTTGTTAAACGAATATGCAAAAAGTACAGAATCGTTTGACCAAAGACAAAGATGTACAATTCAGTAATATCTAAATACATATGATGTAACCTTACCTGATTTGGGACGTCCTTGTCAGTTTTTGCTATTTCTAAACAGCATTCAGAATACCCCAGAAGCAGTCGAGCAGTAGTTTGTTTATTCATTATCTGACACTCGCGGACGACGCCAGATAGTGTAAGGACGTCACGGTAGCACAGCAAAGCATGCACAAATTCTTCTTGCTCCAGACTATCGTCTCCATAGGTATGCAGTTTCTTTATCAAGTCAGGAATACGCTGTAAGATTGCGCATAATTTCCATTTTATTTCATTTGTTTATCGATATATTTATCTGCCTGTTATCATTATTATTATTATTATTATTATTATTATTATTATTATTATTATGTCTGCAATAGCAGTAGCAAGTCTCGGTATAAACCTGTCCAACATCGATTACCTCAAATCATAATATTCATAGAATTAAGGCAGTAGAGGCGTAGGTTCCTCTTTAGCCTAGCTACGGAATGAGTCGATCATGTCAGTCCTGACCGATGAGCAATTCTTAGGGGTTACGTACTTATCATCTCCACTCATCCCAATGAAATTGTGATCAAATCATGACTACGCTGAACCCATGCAGTCGCACCGAGACCCTAGTCAACCAAGGGTACAATTCTAACTACATTACTAAGTCTGTGCTGCTTAAACTTCCGACACCCTCGTATTTTGTCTGTCTTGATACACCCCCCCCTCAAACATAGACACAGACTCAGACACACATAAACGCACACGCTTTTTTAATGTGNCCCACTACAAATGTCTAACTATTACGCCAAGGCTTGTTTGGACAAAAGCCACCACTAGTTTAAGTCTGAAAGCAAGAAAGGCAATGATTATGATTGATAAACTTGAATATAACACTGGGTGGGTTAGGTCTGATATTGCATTTATGATATTTGATAAAATGATCGCGCCAATTTTATTTTACGGTGCAGAAGTTTGGGGATACCAAGTGTATGACAATATAGAAAAGGTACAACTTGCTTTCTGTAAAAGGATTCTTGGCGTGGGATCAACAACTTCAACAATAGCGGTCTTGGGAGAAAATTATTTATTGTTGAATCTCTCGAAATCGCACTTAGCTGCTTTCGCCGGGCTCAGGTGTGGAAACCATAATCTTATGATTGAAAAAGGTAGACATGACAACATACCCTCGAACGAGAGGGTATGCACACTATGTAAGGATGAAATAGAAAACGAATATCACTTTTTGTTAACATGTGAGATGTACAGGGACTTAAGAACAAAATATATACCAAACAGGTACACCTGTCAACCAAATATCCAAAGGTTTAGACAGCTTATGTCTTCCAATGACAGAGATTTGATGATTAACCTGATTAATTATGTTTATTATGCCTTTAGAAAAAGATAATCTTTTTTTGCAACGGATAGTGCACGTACATGTGCTCTCCGTATGCGCAATAGTTACGTTATATGAACCATTTACATTTGTAATCTGGGCAAATGCCTTTATACGAAAATAAATTAAATTATTTGACATTGTTTTCAATCAACAAAGATTCATCAGATGTGGACTTACACTGGGCAAAATGCTATGTGCCTCCTCTGCCATTTCGATGGCCTTTTTAATGTCCCCCTGGTTATGGAACGCCCTCGACTTTAAATCGTACGCCTTTGCACACAGCGCGCGACATTCGTCTTCTTCCTGTTCACTTTCTATCAGATCAAGAGCTGAAAACGGAGCTCATTACTGAATGTTAAACGCCAAATAAACGCAAAAATAAATTATCACGGTTTCAATGGTACTTTTCGTTTAGAAATATTAATCAGTTTGCAGAATCAAGAAAAGGAATCAAATAGACCACCCATTTAGATGAAGAACCCGTGGTCCCTTAATTCAATAAAGGTAATTACTTACCTTTTATGCAATGGTCTCCACATAGTTTTGTAAATGTCTGCATCAAAGAAAAATATACAAGGATTTAATCTCGTTATGTAACATTTCCGTTGTTAAACGAATATGCAAAAAGTACAGAATCGTTTGACCAAAGACAAAGGTGTACAGTTCAGTCATATCTAAATACGTATGGTGTAACCTTACCTGATTTGGGACGTCCTTGTCAGTTTTTGCTATTTCTAAACAGCATTCAGAATACCCCAGAAGCAGTCGAGCAGTAGTTTGTTTATTCATTATCTGACACTCGCGGACGACGCCAGATAGTGTAAGGACGTCACGGTAGCACAGCAAAGCATGCACAAATTCTTCTTGCTCCAGACTATCGTCTCCATAGGTATGCAGTTTCTTTATCAAGTCAGGAATACGCTGTAAGATTGCGCATAATTTCCATTTTATTTCATTTGTTTATCGATATATTTATCTGCCTGTTATCATTATTATTATTATTATTATTATTATTATTATTATTATTATTATTATTATGTCTGCAATAGCAGTAGCAAGTCTCGGTATAAACTGTCCAACATCGATTACCTCAAATCATAATATTCATAGAATTAAGGCAGTAGAGGCGTAGGTTCCTCTTTAGCCTAGCTACGGAATGAGTCGATCATGTCAGTCCTGACCGATGAGCAATTCTAAGGGGTTACGTACTTATCATCTCCACTCATCCCAATGAAATTGTGATCAAATCATGACTACGCTGAACCCATGCAGTCGCACCGAGACCCTAGTCAACCAAGGGTACAATTCTAACTACATTACTAAGTCTGTGCTGCTTAAACTTCCGACACCCTCGTATTTTGTCTGTCTTGATACCCCCCCCCCCTCAAACATAGACACAGACTCAGACACACATAAACGCACACGCTTTTTTAATTTGTCACGTTTGTTTCATTCGTCGTTCTGTCAATCTTGTGTATCTGCATGTTCTTATGTTGAAGCTATTAACATACCAGTATCCAATTCGGCATATTAACATACCAGTATCCAATTCGGCAGTTGTTCTAGTAATCTTGTTATGGTGGCATCCCGAACAAGAGAAATTTGAGGAGGTAAATATAATAACCTAGCTGGTTTTTCCCATCTTAGTGCTAAGGTGATAAATACATGGTTTCAATAAATACATATGAATATATATAAGAAAATATATGAAAATAAATATTATCTCAGTGTTCTCAACATTCATATCAAGGTTCATATCATATGAAATAAAATATAACATTTAATGTACATTTCGGGGTCACGTCGGTACTCCTCTGCACCGTTGCTCCCCCGCACCGATACTCCCCGCACCAATAATCCCCCTTAGTAAAGTTTTGTGTATTATAATATATATGCGCATCGATACGACCCGACACCGATATAGGCTAATAGATCCCCGCATCGATACATCCCCAGTAAAATTGCCGATATAGGCGCACTGTTACTCCCCCACAACAATACTCCCACACATCATTGCTTCCCCGCGTCGATAGGCCCCACTAAGGGGTAGTATCGGTGCGGGGAGTATCGGTGCGGGGACGTATAGGGATGCAACGTTTCTACCTTCCTGAGAAATAGTCTCATATTTCAGTGGTCAGACCTCACATTCGGGAATTTTACAAAAATCAATCCCAATAATAGAAGTAAACGTACAATACGAATCCTATAATTTGCCACATTGTAATTATATATCAGTATTGGCACTTTCGAAAACCAGGGCGACCCCCTTTGTATAGCCCCAAACATCGCCTTGGAAATGATTTTTTTAAGATGCACAGTTGCACCACTCTCATTTTAATTATCTGTGCATTATATAAAACCGAATCAGAGTCACGCACGTTAAGTAAGCAACATGATCTTACAATTGTACAATAGTGAACATGTATCATATACACATTATAGTAATCGTGTTGAGAGAGAGAGAGAGTAGGGGCGAAGAGAGAGAGAGAGAGAGAGAGAGAGAGAGACGTATTTACCTTCGTGCACATCTTCCAAAACTTCAATAAGTAAATCCTGAAAAATAAACGCTTCTGAATACAAGTCAACGTAAACACCTTAAGAGTGGCACTTCTCGGCCTTCCAAAAACAAAACATGCCCTGGCAACTAAGGCAAATGTACACTAAACGGTCATCCAAATTCATATAAAGTTCATAAAACAGTGATAGAGCATACCTACATTTGTTTTGTAGCTAATGTTGCACATAATTAGCGAAAAAAGAAACAGACATACACGAACTACCGTTCTGCAGAGAGACGTGATTTTACCTGTGAATTCACACAAACGACCTACAGGGTTACCACTTAATATGGAATATTATTTTTTGGCGAGTAAATTTTCTACAAAATATTTATTTTCTCTCTAACTACTTTAAATCCAAAGCTGAGGTGTCACTCCATGTGTAGCCAGGTGTGTTACCTTATTACCACACAACTCTCGAAACAATTGATGCATGCAGTTGCATGTTCTGTGGTCAGAAATGAGAGGGTTGGTCTTTTCGGCAATTTCTGCCTTTGAATAAAAACGCATGGGTTTGGTCAATCTTTGGAGTGCGTTTAGAGAAGCAACAAAGGGATCGCTCTGAAACTTGACAGGTATCTTATTGAAGACATGGTTCGACAGCTAAGCAACGCAGCTTACTATGGGACTCTTGCTCTCAGAGAAAATGTCCAGAAACGGACAGCCATTGCCAGGTAATTCAACATTTATCAGGAACCGTTTGTAAAGTCCTCCAAAGAAATGATGCAACAGGGGCACCTACTCCAATACCTCCACCAGGGTGTCCGCGTATCACACCAAGAAGACAGGATCGCCTTCTCCTTAGAGGACACCGTGCTTGTCGTACAAAGACAACCAGTGTCCTCAGAAAAGAGAGGCAGAATGTCATTCAAACGCCCGTTTCAAGGTCAATCGTGAACAAGATTACTGCAAGCCGGTTATTTTGCACGAAGGCCAGTAGGGAAACCACTGTTAACAGCAGGTCATATACAGCGACGTCTGCAATGGGCTGGGGACCACGTGCGTTTGCAGTCAAAACACTGGAATCACGTCGTTTTCAGTGATGAGGCCAGATATGGATTTTTTAGGGTTGCTGGTCGAATCCGTGTCCACCGACGTGTACGAGGGGCATAAAACGATGATTGTGTACGGCCTAGGGTGTAAGCAGGGGATGGTAACGTCTCTGTTTGGGGAGCATTTCATGTCGGTGCCCAGAACCAGTTGGTTTTTCTAAGAGGCAACCTCAACCAGGATTCCTACAGAGACATTCTACAGCAAACGATGCTTCGATTGGTAAAAGCCATCTTCAGGGACAACTTTGTGTACCAAGACGACTGCGCAACCCCACATCGAGGCCGCAGAATCACTTATTTTCTTCGAAACCAATGGGTTCAGCAACTGCCCTGGCCAGCAAACTCTCCAGATATGAACCCAATTGATTAACTTTGGGCAAAAGTAACTCACAGAATTAATAGCTATGGTCATCGGCCGGTAAATAGTGATGAACTGCGACAGGCAAATATCACTGCGTGGAATGATATCCCCATCCAAACTCTAAAAAACGTGTTACAGGATATGCCATGTAGGATGAGGGCGCTGCAAGCGGCTGCTGGAAGTCATACCCGCAATTATTGACTTTTCATGATTTAATGTAGTGAGTTCTTTGACTGTGTAACACATCACTGTCCGGAGGCAATCATTTTCTTTAATATCTTAGCTTAAAGTTAATACTGACATCAAACTGTTGATATGGTTTTCTGGGGGTGTCCCTTTCTTTTGAACGGCATCTTATGTCAGATTTGATATCATTGACCAAAATATCTCACAACAGAAGACTGGATGTTTTTATTACTCAGTGGTATACTTTTTCAATGACTCAAGCCAAAAAAAATTAATCAGCACTCAAAAATAACAATGATAAAAAATATTCCATATTAAGTAGCAACCCTGTATTTGATTTATGGTTTAAAATCCTGATATAGAGCGTAAACCCACGCCTGTCTGTTCGCATGTTTTTATTACTTCATGCTTTATAATGCGGTAGTATATTTGATCACAAATGCAACTATATTCCTACCAAATGTCTGAAGTTCAATTTCATAAAAAATGTATGTGTGAATATTATAAGGTTTATTCAAATGATAAACCAATAAACTGTCCAAACCATGTGCATTTAGGTCTTGTAAACATATACCAATGAAAACATATTAAAAAGACGTAACTAATTACATCCTTAAGAATAGACAAAACTTACCAATTCCAATCTACATGTGGCTCGACCATAGTAAAATTCGACCATTAATCTTTTTGGGATTGTCAGTCCAGTGTCTGCCACTCTGAGGATATCCCCTATAAGTGCACTGAAGGATTTGTTGGCCTCTTTAAATGACTGGCATTTAACAAGTTGAAGAGTTTTTTCACGACGGCAGAGACCATCTGGCACATTCATGTCGAGAAACTGAAACATGTCATGTTCTGTTATGTGGGTACAAATAAGCAATCTGCGGTGCATCATTCTATTGTCAAAAAAAAAAAAAAAAAAAGATCAGCCTATATTTGGTTTTTAGACCCCGGATACATGCGGATACAGTAAATGGAAGGGTGCTGTTACAACCTTGCTAATCGTAACATATTCAAACAGCGGGTTAAAAATATTGTATGGCAAACCGATTTGAATTACAGTCAGGCCAATAATTATATGAAAAAAAAGGCATCAATTAAAGCAAATTGAAATAGAATAAATTAGTGAAAATGTGTATGATAATGTCAATTATTAAAATCTGTTACTCGTTTATTTAAGGAATCTCGTCTTTAATAAGCATAAAAATGTATTTTGATTTACAAACGGCCTAAACTCCCTTTCAAAAAAAAAAAAAAATCCTAGAATGGATACCAGCATCCAACGAAAAAAAAGGAAAGAAAAAAATATACCCAAAGAGAAAGAGAGAAAAGAAAGCACAAAAAGGTTTAAAATAAATGTGTTTACCTGCACCACTGGGTCATACCTGCGATAATAATAATAATAATAATAATAATAATAATAATAATAATAATAATAATGGCCGACGAAAATACAAAAAATGTATACGAACTGCGGTTTATTTATTTCATTTAAGATTCTACAACAAGATACCCATTACTACTCAACATAACTCGCAATGTTTACACTATTTCAGTACTCCCCTCATAATACATACAATAAAATGATGTAACAGGGTCAATCCATCTCCAAAGGGTTTCTTGCTAAATTGCTTTTAGCTTAAGAGGCTTAGATGTCTGGCCCGCCTACTGATGCTGATAAATGATAATTAATTACCCCCTTGGAGATGGCTCAATTCACAGTTAGTACGATAGGGTCTGGGAATGGTCCCTAAGTGTTCGACACCTGGTTGGTATGTCCAAAGTTTTTTTTTTAAGACAAAATTGCCATTTGCATCAATTTTAGACAATTTCAAGTGTAGGCATATGGATATATCTTGTGTTCACTAGTGCACATATTTTGTTTTGTCACGTGGGCGTCATAATACTTTCTCATTCCCATTGGTCATCTTTCCCGCCTTTCGTCGTTTATAAATATCGCCGCCGCCTTTTTCTATCATTCGTATTCTCTCATCACTGTTTATCTTTGCAGGCACGTGGTCAATAGTTTTTTTTTTTTTTTTTTTTTTTTTTTAATTCTATTATTTAAATTATCATCATTATAACTATTGTCATAAAGTCAGACATTATAGCTCTGGATGATATTATTATGATGAGGATTCTTATTCTCTCATTACTTTGTTTATCTTTGCAGCACAATGGTCTTGAAAACGGAAATAAGAACAAAGAAAAATGCATTTGGCTTGAACAGTTATATATGGCGCTGCGAGCAGGACACAGCGAACACAATATATCCACACGGCTACATAACTGATGCACCAGTGCAGTGTACCAGACGGAGGTAATTTTTTATTTGTGACGTAGGGCTAAAATTAACAGAAGCAAGTTAGGCTGTTCGCGGTAAGCGTTTGAAATAAATGTGTCTTTAATGCCCTACTTATTAATTTGGTTTAGGTCTTTCAAGCAAAGCTGCACGATTAACATGTATTGAAATGACCTTGTTGAACAGAACGTCTTTATTTATTTATTTATTTATTTATTTATTATTGTTGTTGTTGTTTCTCAACAAATTGTGTCGTATATTAAGCCATTTCATCTACGTAAAATATTAAACAACATTTTTGTAAAGGAAGGGGACCATAATACAATACTGAATCAACTCTTGTCGCACGTTGATACCTAAACATAACAGCACGTGTTATTTCCACGTTTTTTTCACCCTAGTCATTCATTCTTTTTTAGCTTGTCGGGGGAAAAGGATTCATGGAAATTAGTTCATCGATAAACAGAAAAATACTTACTGTTCTCCATCGTTGTTGGCCGATTTGTCACTATCCATCTCTAGAAAACACATAAATGAATTTATCAAGTATGCATTTATAAACCTATAATGCTTACTGCAATTACATTTTACATTCATATAGTATTATTACAATAACAACCTTAATTAAAATTGATTAAAACAAGTTAATTTAACCGTAGACCATCTTCCTTGAAAATGGTAATTAAAAAACAGCCCTTTGTTTCTCATGGAATAACACATAAAATACAGTTGTGGTAAATTTGTGAGAGTATATTCCTTATAATACGTTTCTAATTTATACATTTAATCTTATTTAAAATCGCTAAATGATATAAAATCTAACCTACCATTACGAAAAAGAAGCCATGCCATTGGACAATGCGACCTCTGCGGTTACGTCATTTCCCGAATTGGATTGTAGAGAGGACCAATTTAAACATCAGAGGTGGAATTTGGATTTACGGTTTGATTGTGCGTATGCCATGCACGGAATTTACAAACGAGTGACGGGATGATGTAGCCTGTAGTATTTGCGGTAAGCGTGCCAAGTTTTAGGCCGCTCCGATGGCCGGCAGTATTTTATTTCGATTATTATGTTGAAGTTGGTCGATTTTTGTTTCACAAGCTGACTCTATTTTATTGTCTCTATGGAGGTATATGGGGACTTTACGACATTCGGTTTGAAGGCTTTCACCACTTGTTATAGTTTATTTTTGCATTGTATTGGATTAATGTGGCAGTCCAAGGTTGTCCTAGGTGGTTTTCAAGTTTATGCACCCGGTTTTTATATCATTTAGCGATTTTACGACAATCGTTTACTATCCAATCAAGGTGACAGCCGAGCGTGGCACAACAGAACAGTTACGCATTTATTTAGACATACTGGCGGGTACAGTACTCTATACCGTTATATAGNTACAGTTCTCTATACCGTTATATAGAACAATAAAAAAATCAGCTGATCGAGATTGCAAAAGACAATGGAATTCCTGAATGTACCTCTTTCCCTTTTTTAACTTCCATTAAGCAAATCATATAAGTGACTTAACACATCACATCCAAATGCTTTTCACCACTGCCTATAATTTGAAGCGGAAAGCCTGAGTGTATGCAATGGGATTATATCCCACAAACTCGATCCCGATTATAACGTCCCTTGGGTAAACTACATTAAATCATCAAGCCATCCTTTAAAGCAGCACGTCACCGGACTAAAATAGACACATACCCACAATGCAACAGGCGGGGATTCCCCTTCACAGGTATTATCACGGTTATTGATCGGTGTCCTCAAAACAGGTCGAACTCGACAGGTAAACATGGTGTCTAAACGCTTGTTATCCGATTAAACTTGGGAGAAATAAGTTTTTTTTAGGTGAACGAGAAAAGAGGTGACCCCTTGTTGCTAGAGAGAGAGAGAGAGAGAGAGAGAGAGAGAGAGAGAGAGAGAGAGAGAGAGAAGGGGTTGATATTGCCCTAATTCCTTATTGATCATAAAGGCGTTAATGCTGAAAAAGCAGCCCTGTGTCAACAGCGAGAGTAAATGTGATGTTTATAATCCAGCCCTAAGATTGAGAATGCTGAATAAAAAAAAAAATAGTAACCGTTTGGAACGATGTCTGGTGCTCATTAAGCATAACCATAACCAACTCACCTGGCCTATTTTGAGGAGTACAAAACATTCCCGTGCAGTCGTCTGGTCGCCAAGAGATCCGCCAAGAGAAAGAATGCTACTGTTTGATTTGAAAGGCCTTCACTTTGATCACCTGACTTCCTGCGAATCGGTCTGTAACAGACCGATAGCTCGGGTTGATGTTTCTTTATTGTTATTGTACAAATATCTCCAAATATCTCCAAATATCTCCAAATATCTGCAAGATTAATATAAACAAATTAATTTTAAACAATTACATTAACAAAATTTACACTGACGAAAGACAAGAAAGACAGAACAAAGAAATTAAAATATAACAATGCCAAAAACACCATAAAATTAAATATATAAAATAAGAAATGTATGAATTTAAACTATGGATTGGTCCTTTATTAAATATAGTTAAACTTACCTGCAAGCTCACTGGAATACCTATTTCAGTTATTCAACCTGCATCTCCGTCCGACTCTCAGGTGGAAATCAAATTTTATTTTACACGATACACACCGAACACAATCATAGCTAACACAACAAACACAGCAAACCTTACAGGTCAAATTCGCCATACGCCAATTACTCTCTGTACAAACCTATGCACTTTTTGGAGTAGAATTACAATAGGCTATACTGCATTTCTACTGCAAATGTGACCCATACCACTACTGCATTAATGCTTCTTTGCTACTTCGATACTACTGCATTTTCATGCGGGAATGCACATCGATTTTAATTAATGATTAATTAACTAATTAACTAAGAGATAAAAGCCAAGCCAGCTGTCATGCTTACCTATAGTGTTTTCGTTCTTCAAGATTATGTCTGCTTATCTATAATGGTTGCTAATTTACTAGATTCAGAGTCTAGTGTTTAGTAGATAACACACAAAGAACCTGCACTTTATCACCTTAATTCAATGTGCAATGTACTGAACTTGTCAATCCTGTTTTCGTTTTTACTTCCGCGAAAATTCCACAGTTTTTTCGATACTTGACTGTCATCTAGCGGCAATACGGTGCGATGAAAAGGGGTAAAATTAGATGTGAGTCACATTCTAGAATAAATCGCCGCAAATGACCTAGAAATGCTAGTCAGTCTGAGTATCTGAGTTGCCCTTACAATATATCTGTCTGCAAAGCAATTAATACTAGGACATTCGAAGACCTTTTTCCCCATGATCTACACACACTGGACAATAGAAGTGCCACCCCGTACGGAACCAATACTTTGGGGGAGATAATTGTGTATAAAACCGCTTCACCATTCAAATTCAAGATCGGATGCTCAATGTAATCTTCCCGCAAAAAGGTAAGCGGTTAGAAAAGGGAACACATGTATTGTCTGTTTCAACATAACCCTTGCCAAGTAAAACCACATTTGACAGGCTTAGGGTTGCCTGCATCTAGATTGTTGAGAACACGGTTGGTTTTCTTTTTTCGATAAACAATTTTGACATGAGTTGTTGTGAATATAGATCAAATGGATCAATGTAAATAGATGCTATTTTTATGTAAAGGCCGCAGTGATTATTTCTTATTGACATCCTCAAAGTTTGTCGTTTTATAGTTAAGTGGATAATAACTCTTTGTATGAGGTCTATATTTCATAATGAAAACATTGTGAATAAATCATAGAAATATTATATATTCTGTTTTACGACAAAAACAGCAGTTGTAGCTATTATTCTGATAGCTGAGCTTGTCTTCAGACCATGTGACCTCCATTGATGTCTATACCCTGTTATAATCTCTTACGAGATTTTAACAAAAAACCAAACATTTTAGAAAAAAAAAACAGGGACTAACTTTGAATGTAAAAATGGATTCATTAACCATTGGTAAGTATGAGAAAATTGTTGTTTACTCCAGGAAAATTAATTTTTGGCCAAAACGAAGACAGCTCTTCAGATTCACACATCGTACTGCCCGCACGAAAATGCAGTAGTATCGAAGTAGCAAAATAGCATTAACGCAGTAATGGTGTGGAGCATATTTGCAGTAGAAATGCAGCATAGTCTACTGCAATTCTACTCCAAAAAGTGCATAGGTTTGTACAGAGAGGAGCATTAATGCAGTAGATCTAGATTAGCAGCATGATAGAAGCATGTTTCAAATATGCTAATTAGCTCCCAAATCGAAGCAGATTTGAAGCATGTTTGCAGTATGATTGCAGTAGTCTACTGCGCTGGAGTATCTACTGCGTTTTCTTGCATGGCTGGCTGGGTCCAACTCTACGGCTGCTCTGGATTATAATTAGTTAGGTGTAATCAGTGAATTCGTGCAGCTTCATTGTTTGACACGCAAGCGATCACCCCACCCCTCAGGGACAGTTACACCCCAAGTCACACTAAATATCTCCTGTATCCATGCACCAGAAAAAAGCTAAAACTAGGCAGATTTTTTTTAATGGACGAAAAATACTGCCATGTTTGACTATGGATACTACAATTTATAACATAACATGCAACGAGGTCAATCACATAGTAGACACATGGGGTCAATAAACACTATTAAAGACGTATTACAATAATATATAAACATTCTGTATCCCACCACTTTCAGTAATTTTCATGAAAACATTTAGCCAACTTCTTCAGCCAGTCTTCTTTAACCAGGCGTGCTTCCATTACTACTAGAATTTTATTATTGTAAATCATTTGTGCAAATCTAGAGGAAAAGGTGAATATTTCATGTAAAACGTGAACAGTAAATAATAATCACCATCATGATAAATATTTATTTTTGTATGTAATACCACTCTGATTTTTTATTACAGACCTCCATTATTTTATCGTTTGCTTCTATCATGCAAGCATTATCCTGGTACATGTAGATGGATTGGACAAAATCCCCACAGAACATGCACAAATTGTTCAGAAGGCAGTTTTAAGGTGACAAAATACTGCCATTAACAGATACGAAGAGGAAAAAAAGTGACATTTTTACTTAAAAGACAAAAGTATGCAGACTTTTAAAATTGGACGCAGAAAAATTGCGATGTTTGACATGGAATGCAGCAATTTATAACATAAAGATTGACGAAGTCAATCACATGGTAGGCACATGGGATCAATAAATTATTATTAGAATAAATATTACAACAACAAATCATAAACATTCTGTAATCTACCACCTTTCATAATTATCATGATAATATGAAGACATTCGGCCTGTCTTCCTAACCTGGCATGCTTCTGTTTCTTCTACGCTTTTATTATTGTAAATCTTTTGTTCAAATATATATGAATAAGTGAATATTTCACGTGAAACGTGAACTGGAAAAAATATACACCAGCATCATTAATATTTATTTCTGTAGGTCATACCACAATGATTTTATATTAAAAGCCTCCATTTTTTGCCGCTTGCTTCTGTCATGCAAGCGTTATAAACAATTTAAACAAAATCTCCACAGAATATGCAAAAATTGTTCAGAAGGTAACGGCAGAGCGTCCCTGGTTTGGTAGCGCCCCTATACATTTTTGAAAATTTGTTATATAGATGCAGAGCAAAGACCTCTTCGTTTATTTTGCCTTTATCAAGGAAACATTCTCGTATAACATGAGGAAACTCAATAGGATAAAATGATTGCCGATACAAACGTCTGACTATGCATGACTTGTCTTTCGATACCTCTTCAAATCTGTTGACGTCACACACCCACGTGCTATGCTTTCTCGCCACGCGGGTGAGAAGTTGCGGCCCATTTCCCCCCCAACTTCTCTGCTTATAGTTAAGGAGGTATTCTTTAATACACTCACGGATAAATGGATTGTGTTTATCAAATATGACAACAGCGTTATTTAACCAAGAGTTTTCTCTGTTTTCCCATGCAGTAACATTATTTAAAGCGTCTAATCTCTTTACCAAAATGACGTCAGTGTCTATGTAAACGCCACCATACATATATAACAATAGCAACCTGATCAAGTCACTTTCGTGGGCACACCAATTTGGTCCTTTTGAAATAACGGGTATTCTTTTCAAAAACGCTTTCGAGCGACCTGCGAAGGTATCTGGTTCTAGATTTTCAATGCGCCTTAGTAAGTTTTCAAGAGTATAGTTCTCGACCTCTACTTGAAAACCTGCTTCACTGAACTCAGAAAACGCCTTCTGTGTCAAAACATTGCTTAGAATGCGCACTTTCGAGTTTGGATGGTGGTAAAATATACTCTCGAGTGAACGGCGGTTCCGCTTTGTCTGATTCTTTGTTGTGTACACTTGATAGAACACCGGTTCAGTTGTTTCAATTTTTTTTTAACTGCATGGATTTTTTGAAGGGTGCGATCCCAAATGTTATAGCCGTTTCTCGTAATGCGCGAGATTTTCGTATCTCGTACCACAAGGTGGCTCGAAAGCGCATGTAGATATCACGATTTGGGTTCATTTCCGGACTGTCCCAATTAAAGTTGTCCAGGCCCCGGTAGGTTCTCATCCTGAGGTCTACATTAACTGTGTGAAAAAGTTCTGTTAAGCCCTCAGTTTGACGCCTTCCACCTCCAGGTAAGATATCAGTTTCTACAAAAACTACTGGAATCCCCATGGCAACGCAAGGAAGCGCGCAATGGATACTCGAGGTTATAACTAATTTTGCGCGTGAATAACTTTCCATCAAACTTTTTGCGGCTTCGTAGCGTGTTAATCTATCAAATTTCTTCGAACTGGGCAAATTATGGGTGACGTTTATCGCTGTTTTTCGTATTTGATATGGAGCAATCAATTCTAAAGCGCGTTTGTTCACATCAACGACAAATATACCCTCTCTTTTCATGGTGGGGTTGGGATTGAACATTGAAAGTGTCAAACAGCCCGATTTATAAACTGATAAATTTTGTGATTTTAAGAAATTAAAAGTGACGTCATCACGAGCACCCACAGGGCCATGATATCGAAGGTAATTTCTGCCCGATTCAGTTAGTAATTTCTTCCAGAAATTCGATCCAAAATGCATTGATAAAATCAAGGGGTTTAGATTAACTTTCGGTGGCCACATCATGTTGCCGGCGTTATACCATCCATTAAGAAATATTGTGATTGCTTCATTGAGATTATTGGTTTCGTTGGAAACAATGGACCCTCTTCTATGATTATCTTTTGTATCTCTTGTTTTAGATTTGCCATTACCTGCAACATTTCGGGCCATGTACAAATCCGGATTTGTTGCCTTTCCTTGACTTTCTCTTTTAGTGTTTTCCTCCCAAAAATTGTCAGTATTCTCCGACTGAGCAAATGTCTTTACTACACTGGTGACGCTCCAAGTATCCCTGTCCACAAACAGGTCAACAAAGGAAAGAAATTGTAGCCCTGCTAGCGTTTGAATCTCATCGCCAAAGTTGATGTCTCTAGCCACCTTCACTCGATTGTCAAAAGTTAGGATCCCAAAGACTTCATCTTGCAAGAAAGGTATTGCAGAATCTGCACGGTCCTTTTCAATCGGTCTCTTATCTACCTGACTTAGAACTTTTGATTTCAACAAGACTGAAGCAGTGTCCCAATTTTGGATTTGACTTCTACTGAGATTGCTGTATGCCAACTGAATTTCGGCCATGGCATTTTTGACGAACAACGAATGTTGTTCAAATCTGGATACGAAAAAGATGCCTTCAGTAGACATCCATTCCCCTGTGAAATATTCATCTGGTAAATTTGACGGCATTATTCTTCTTACATCTATGTAAAGTCCACCATATTTCCACAATACAAGTAAAACACTTATTTCTTGTACGACTGCCATAAATTTACGACCCATGATCAATTTCAGAATGTCGGATCTAGAGACAAAATCGTCCAGCGGTGTGCCATGAGTTAACTCAGATAACAGTAAACGAAATGCTGCTACGTGTTTCCACGACGTGTCGTCTATTTGATCTATACATCCACTGCTTCCACATAAAATTATAACGCGTTTCCCTGGATTTAACTGGAGAAAGGTATCTATTTTATCCATAAACGTCTGTGGAA